ATTTGCCAAATGTCCATAGTTTCAAATGAAAAGCTATTAAAAAAAGAGTACATGAGGTCTAAAGTGATGAAAAACTGTTTTTTATTATTTGCTTTCTTTTTTCTTTCCTTAAAAAACCCCTGCAATATACTGCAAAGCTCACGTCTCTGCTACAAGAAAAGGTGGGGTACTCTTCAGCAGACACATGAAGAAAACACATTAGAGGCAGAGGATAAAGTGCTTTATGTGAACTGTACTATGGCCTCCAAGGACCTGGCATCCATATATGTGGACATCACATTTTGGGTTGTCTAGACCAAAATATTAAATGTTGCTTTACAAGGCCCTGATATCTACTTACGAGGACATTATACTGCTACTGTTCTGTCGAAATTTAAAATCAATGTCCTCATATGTGGATCTAATTTTTCTCAGAAACAAAAATGAGGTAAAAAAAAAAAAAGAAAAAGAAAAAAAAAAGAAGAAAATCAGGTAATTCTTTGTTTTTACATTCATCAGGTCCCAATCAGCCCAAATATCAAAGAGAAATTACAAATACATGTCATGAAAGAGTTCAGGTCTTAGGAGGACACATATATAACACTTCTTTAAAATGTATATATGACTTTTTTCAGCTATTTTAAATGCTCTGTGCCTGTTTTAAAAAGTCATTTTATCCATGGCCACTATTCGATAAAGAACACTATGAGAAAAAACATCTAAAACCCAGCTTACCTTCTCTTTGACCTTGCACACCCACTCATTTCAAACTTTAAAAATACACTGTAAAGTTTTCTGAGTAACTGCTTTAAAAAAGGAATTACTTGTCTAGAAATAGGTTGGATTTTGTGGGAAGAAATTACATTTAAGGGCTTTAAAAGCATGAAACTGTCGCTGCTCCCCTTTTCCAAATTACTTTAATGTGAACCTTTTACGAAACCTGTTCAGGACTTCCTCTGGAATTTACCTGCACAATGAAGTTAGATTAGATTCAGCATTGCATATCACTCAGTAAGTACCAGTATGATAATATGCTATTTATGCAGAATAGTTTCCAGATAGTTACAGAGCAGTTCCCTAGTACACTGTTATATGGTTGGTGAGATGTTGCGTTGGTATTGCTGCAATAGAAATTACTGGAAATTTAATCTGACTGATGGTTTTGATTGGTAGGGTACAGTTCACTGGACACTTAAACATGTAAAGTTTAAAAGGAAATGATAAGGTCTATGTGATATTAATGTCTAAATCTCTACAAAAAGATGTAGAAAATGTTTGCAATAAGTTGCACAAAATTTGCATCCACACTAGTCTTCCTATATTATTCCCTAGAAACCTTTGTCATCATCTGACCAAATCCTTATGAAATAGTGT